GGGCGGGACGTGTGACACACACACGCCTCCTGTGACTCACCTCCCCTCCCGCCTCCTGTTACTATGGACGCGGACGGGAGGGGAGGTGAGTCACAGGACCCGCCCCCTCACTGTGAAGCCCGTCGGCAGTGCGGGGCCCCGGTGTTCGAACACCGGGACCCTGCACTGCCCCATATTGCAGGACCGGACCGCACTGAGACTGTGCGGCCCGGTACCATTTGATCCGCGGACCGGTACTGGTCCGCGGACCGGGGGTTGGGGACCACTGCTATATAGGACTGGCAATTCATACATATGTTAAATCATGCAACAGGCTTTCAGGTCTGTTTCAACATCCTAGACTATAGAGAGCCTCTATGTAACCAGAAAAGAGACACCTCTGAAGTATGAATGGTATTAGAGCACCATTATAAGTTCCATCCTCCCACAGCTTTTTATGAACTAGTGTTTCAGTACTCATTAATGACATTCTTGGAAACATATGATATGTGGGTTGTGTATTTCAAGGTAGATAAAGACTGAGGATCATTTAACGTTAGAGTTTCGACATCTGGCATTTCACCGTATCATCTTAATCATATCTGACATACAGTAAATAATAATGATTGCCGAGCGGTGGAGAGCTGTAACAAGACAAGCAAGGATAAAGAATGCTATAAATTTTAACCAAACAGTAACCCCAGCAGAATAACTTCCTTCCCCGCACTTCTCACCACCTGAATTTACAATGAGCCTGAGCTCCAAAAATGGAAACATCCGGACAAATATGTTGACAGCTACCATATAAAACACTTCTCAGTCGGAGACAGATGGGTTATTAAACCCCGCTATTCCCATTTACTATATTTGATTCTAGATGGGACCACACAGTCAATGTAGAGGAGTCAGTTGAGTCGGTTGACAAGCTACAGGTTATCATCCTTACTCAGTACAAGCAGGCACAACCTACATGAGTGTGGCAGCTCTGCTTTAATTTTAGGAGCAGTGCAGCATAGTCGCCACACCATCACCGGAAGCTGCAATACGTAGACTGTAAGTGCAGATGCACTTATAATTATGGGCCACAGCACATACAGTATTTTTAATTGGAGGCCGCAGTTCTATTTTAATCAGACCTCACAAGCATGTTATCTGAAAAAAATATAATGAGAAGTATCCCCTGATTGTAGTTCTGTGTCATTTGATGTAGAGAAAGCCTAGGAATACCTTGCCTTGGTCTGCGCCTCTGAGAAAGTCAGAGAAAGTGTTCTCTGTAGCACCATATGTGTACTAGAACATCTTCTGCATGGTACAGTACCTGCACTGCCAGAACTGCTGCACTGTACCAGGGTACCTGTACTGCCAAAACCAGAACTCTAGAAAAGTAAACATTTTCATTGGACTGACAACTGCTACCTAAATGGTTTGGTGATTTCCTTCACATTTGTTTAATTTTTCTGTTCTGTCCATTCCCTTTTTTCTTTTTTACATTTAATCTTTCATAATGGATCTTGCTGATAGGAAAGGGTTTTGAAAGGCTGTGGGGTGAACAATGTTCCCAGTCCCTATCGCCTGTAGAAAATGTGCATTCTCTTGCAACATGTCTGCAGTCTATGACCATTTACTGTAGTATAACAGCAGTCTTGGACTCCGACATGTAGCATTACATATACTGAATATTATGTGTGACCCTTTGGTGCTTTCAGAGGCAATGCTTGAGGCCCTGTATAACTAATAAGCTGACCTCCCCTGGTCTAAAATATATATGCATGCAATATATACTCTACAAAGAAAGGATTGAAAAGGATATGTATAGTGTTAAAGCTGTCAAGTGCCAATGTCTCTGCAGGAGAGTGTAACTGCACCTCATTATTATAAGCAATAGAGAGAAGAAGGGTGAATTCTTAGTGTAGTCTAGAGACAGGAGAACATATAATGTTAGCAAGCATGGCCGGCTTGGGAATTTTACCAATTGTGACCATGGCGAGCAAGCAAGCAGTGTTCAGAGTACCTGTGTTCGGAGGGTCTGAAATAAAAAGGAGCAGATACGGGTGCAGATGCACAATTGGTAGATGTATCACAGTGTCCTCCTTGGAGGTGAGTGAATAATGGCAAATCCATTCCAACAGTGAAATTCCATTATTCCTTTCACTGGGTGAGCATTTGCTTCTCCTGGCATAATAGTAAACTGTGTTCCAGTTCACTACAGGGCTCCTTTGGAGTGTGAGCTTCCTGTTTGTGTCTGCTGCACACTCTATAATACAGGAGTGAACTGGGAAGTAATCAGTGCAAAAGTCACATAAAAATTACTTCCAGATAGAAAATTATTACCAGATAAATTCAAAATGAATACACATGGAGATATGCTAGATTGTCCTTTAATTTGAAAATGTGCCATGCTTATGAAGGTTATCTGAACAGAAGGCTTGTTTTAGACCCTTTATGCATACATTTTGCATCTCTATGGACCCACACAGACATTTTGGCCTAATAGTTATCTGTATGAATAACATTTAGGCAGGATAGAAGATGCAATTGTTCAATAGTTGCACTGTCAGGCGTGTATAGCTCTGAAGGCATGCATAGAGAAGGTCTGCTGTGCAGGAGAGGACTGAACAGCATTGAAAAGAAAGATACTGTTTGGTCCCCTTTCAACTTGTATATTCCACAAAGAATGTGTTCAGCTTATACCTCTATTAAATATTAATAAAATAACAAAAGCCTTTCTTATAGTTTCTTATACGTTAAGTGGTCCATGAAGACTGCTTGAGCTCACCTGGCATGTTTTAGAAAAAATACCAATGATATGAAAGACTGGGTAATACCGGTAATATTCTATGATTATTTAATAGTATATACAGTGAAGTAAGGTTAGATCATAATGATATTATTTTCTATAAGAAGGCAAAGCACCAGCATTATATTTTTAGTATATTTTTGTCTCTACTTTTCATGGATTACAAAATATTCATTAAATTACATTTGCAATACATCATTTCCACTGTTGGTGAAGCCAAACACTGCCTTTTGCCCCTTTGGTATTTACTAGGTTTACGGTACAAGGTTTTGCTTTATTGAATTTTAGAAACATCACTGCCTTCTTTTTTCATCTGCAGCGTTTGCTGGATAGTCTAGGCATTGACTGCTTCTACCACTGACTAGAGTAGATATTTAATATTGAAGAATGATCACATCCCTTTCTCCGGATCAGTAGTTGTCTTAGCCGTTCCTATTGAGACAAAAGCAGTGCTTGAGGGAGTACTACAGCTAAAACACACGGAGCTAGAGCCACCATAGTGTCACCACAATGGAGAGAGAAAATAAAATAAATGGATGCCACCAGCACACACAGTGGTATTGCAGTCCAAAGTGTTCATTTATTGGAACGTCATGTCACCAGAACTAGCGCTTTCGGGGCCACACAGGGTCCCCTTCATCAGGCTTAGCAATGACATAGAGTTCAAGATCACACCACATTATATAGACCAACAGATAGAATTAAATCAACCAATCAGAATACTCATTGACGTCATAATGACGTCATGCCCACCAAATAGAAAAAGGTAAACAACTGGATGCTGACAATACATAATAAAACTATCTTAGAAATGTACGAGAACATCCCAATCATTGCTACTAATGGGTAAGGGATGTTTAACAATACCACTGATGTGCTGGTGACATCCATTTATTTTGATCTTTTTGGCGGCACCATCCGCTGTCACTGCGAGCAACCCCCCTCATCTAATTTGGGGCTTCCCAGTAAGGAGTGCGACAAGGTATCTTTATTTTTGTTCACAATGGAGAGAGAACTCTCCAGGAGAATATCTCCTACAAGCCTTTTAAAGGTCAACTTTTGTGAATTTGTGTTACCTATCATATATTACTGCATCCATGTTTATAATTGTAAGATACAGAATTTACGGTAGTCAACTGCATATTAGAACCCAAACAGGGAAGAGAGGAGAGGACTGCTAGTAATGTACACATATCATTCCGGTTCCATGGAAACAAGATATATTGTGTCATCGTCTAAGTGTGTTGTGCATCCTTGTTCAATATATAGAGTGAATTGTACATACACGTGTACGTTTGTGTAAAGATGACTGTACCTACTGTACTGTACCTACTGATCAAAGCTTTCTATTGTTATCAAATCCTCTTCAGGAAAATAATCATACAATTGCTAATTAATATGACTTTTACAATGATTGCTTATTTCTTACCTGCAGAGGTCTTTCCTTCTGTCCACACCAAGTTCTTTCCTTTAACGACCACCACAGTAAGACGCTCAGCTGTTGGAAGGTAACTGAGAGATAACAGAATCTCTCCTACTGAATCTGCAGCCTGAAAAACAAAGGAATTGTGTTTTCCACCATGGCTTATGTATATATGTTTATAGGAAATTTGGTTGGTCAATCTCATGCCATTTACAGGGAAGCCATTTAAGCAGGAGACACTTGTCCTTATGTCACAAATCTGATTTAATTTGATCCTGTGACCTCTTTCTTTCTTGTATTTTCCTATACTAGTCATAGGCACAAAGCCAGGTCAAGAGTTTGGTTTCCAGGTTTCTAGGTACTAGATTGGGCTGCACAGGAACTGGACCTGAACCCTTTGAACACCTTTGAGATGAATGGGTCCGCTAATTACGAGCCAGGTCTTTTCTCATCCAACATCAGTACCTGACCTCACAGATTTCTTTTGGCTGAATGGGCACAAGCTCCCATAGACATAGTCTAAAATTTTGTGGAAAGCCCTTCCAGAAGAGTGGATGCTTTTATAGTCGCAAAGGGAGGTCAACTCCATGGTTTTAAAAATGGTATGTCCAACAAGCTTGTTTACGTTTAACGGTCAAGTGTGCACAACCTTTGGCTATATAATGTATCTTCCAATTGAGACATACAGTATGTGAGTAGTGGTATCTCCCCACACATTGGAGATCATTTTACTGACTTTCTGTTCGGTCTCTGGTGCAGGAAGTAAAAGGAGTTTTTACCAGTTAGGAGACAGACGATAACGAACATCTGCCGGAGTTCCATTTCAACTGGCAACAATCTACTTCTTTAGCAAATTACCCTTCAATATGCAGTAAAAGAATACCTTATTCACATCTTGTAGGTATATCCAGGTATTGAATGGACGCATAGCCAAATCCAGGTCTGATAATTTCAGCTCTGCAACTCCCGTACTAATATTCCTTTCATCTCCATCGATTCCAAAAATAGCGAACCTCAGGCTGTTTTCCTCCAGCGCCAACGGATCCAGCGGTATGGAAAACCTCTCATCGAATAAAACTGAATATGCATTTCTCTGTATCTGTCAAAACAAAATGGTGTGCATATGTTATAAGGATGCTTAATGGAAATTGTGCAAGAAGAAATATGGAGTTCTCGCAACAGAATTCAAAATATGTCATTTTTGTTTTGAAACAAGTAAAACACGGCAGTGTTTACTAACTCTGTGCCTTTTCAGTTTAAAAAAAGTCACACTGGCTTTGCAAGAGAACCCTTCCAAATTTTCTGCAGATGTTTAAATATACTTGAAAAAAAGTCAATATAATTAAATTTAAAAAAAATAAAAAATAAAATATATATATA